AATATAATATATATATATAAGTATTACTTAGCAATTTCTATACACATTGACGGCTTTTGAATTTAAATTGGCACTAAGATTCGTTTGCAAAATAACGTATACAAATATCTATATATGTATGTTTCTACAACTAAAATATAATATTGAAAACGAAATAACAAACATTTTGCAACAGAATCGAATTATAATTAATTAACATTTGCTGGCAATGTGATAAATATATATGTATGTATAAAAAGAAGAAACAAATAAGCTTTTGTACTTTTTGAAATGTAAAAAAACAATAATTTAAAAACTATTCAAATTTCAGCTAAAAGCCGCGTTTGCATTCACATATAAATGTTAATTAAAATATGCTTTGTCCTTACGCAATGCAAACACAGACTGAGATGGCAAAGTAAGTTACAGTTAGAACGGATGGCATTAAATTGGCTTTATGGTTGCATAGCAGCATCCACATTAGATCTGGACATTTATGTGTTTTTTGTTTTTTGTTTTTCATCTTTTTTGGCTAAGCATGCGAGTATTTTGTAATTTGTATTTTGTTGTTTGTTTTGTTTATGCATATGGTTAATCCGTAATCTACAAGAGCATGTAGGAATGATCACGTTCCAGACGCGATTTGGCGCGCATTTGAATGTTGCCAATGGGATCCGAGGGCGGTGGTATCCCATTGATTTGATGTGTGGGCTCCTTGTAGAAGAACTCGGTGCGCCCGCACTTGTAGCCATAAAAAACCGAGTCATGGGAGCTATAAAGATAAATCCAAATTCAATATTTATATTTTATTTAATGTTTCCACTAGCTTACCGAAGTATTAAATCGGTGAGTTGTTCGCTCCGTTGCTTCAGATCGCAGTGCATGCTCTCCAGCGTATTTAGCTCCAGCGGATTCCAGGGCCCATTGCGCTGCAGTGCATCCCACTTGGCATCGATGCACATGAAGCTATAGTTGCCACAATCGCGCTTATCGCCCTCCACATTAACGTTGAGCGTTTGATTCAA